TGTTTGATGTTTATGGCTTGTGTCAGATACATGCAACATGCATCTTTGTTATCTTATCAAAACACACCTGTAGTATTACATCTGATTTTCAATATTCTGTTTGACTGTAGCCCCCCCAACAAACTTTGTTGTCTCTCCAAGTACACTTTCTGACTGGAATGTTCTCTTAGGTGAAGCAGACAAACTAATTTTACTGAAGCGCTTTTCAAACTCCAAGTACGATTTTCATCTCTGGAGCGATGACTCCCACAAGGGAGGAGAAGAGAGGCACATAGTGGGTGTTCACACCTGGTGCCCTATAGAGAGCAAGCCTCGAGCTTACGTCCTAGCAAACAGCCTTACAGCAGGCGGGTCCAGAAAACACCAGTCTGACATGGATTATCACGTTGTGAAAAACGAATATGACATCACCAATGTTTCGCAGTTGGTTGGAGACAATGCCTCTACCCAAAAGGGAAAAGTAAATGGTCTCTTAGCAAACAACACCAAAATTTTTGGAAAGGAAATATATTTTTTTTTTGTGGGATGCTACCCACATGTACTAAACATCATGCTGAGAAGATTGTGCCAGGCTGGGTTTGGGGGAAAAGGGTGACATGAGTAACCCCCATAAAATATCTTGGCTCCATCATGAGCGTCCAAGCCAATACAAAATTATGTATGTTTCTCTAGCTATTCTTAGTAAAGAGCCACCCCTTCCTCAGACATTCATTGACACAAGGCGGACGTATTATCATGAGACTCTCCAGTGGTATCTTAAATATGGAGAAACTTGTTTACAGCTTGCTGAGCATCTCCTTCAAAGATTGCCAAAATCAGATAGCCACCACAATATATTGCGAGATGTCATTAAGACGAGCTCAAGTCCTATGATCCAAGTTGAAATCAAGTTTTTGTTTGAATTCCTTGACAAGTTTATCATCCCATCTCTGAACACATCCCAAGCTAGTGATGCAGAACTTGGTTTTTCCAGTGATTACCTAGCATGGTTATGGCCAGCAACTGTTTTGAAGCACCATGAAACTTTAAGTGAAATGTTGAAGTCTCCATCAGAACATTTTCCTTTAACATCACAACAGGTAAAGATGTCATTGAAAGACCCTGCAGCTATTGACCATTTTTAAAAACAAGTGCAGAGGCCAATGTTACAAGAAGCACTTAAAGTAATCAAAGATCATGGAGCAGAGTGGTTCACTTTTCCTAAGTTGTTTGGAATGGGAGCTGCTCAGAGATACCAAAGTCATTTCTGGCATTCGGTCTTAAAGCTTCTTGGAATTCCAGTCAGATCTGAAAATCAAAAAGAAAAGTCAGTGAACAATCCCTTTCATGTTCATGGACATAACATTCTCACGTTGGTCTCTAAGGACAGAGTTGGATTAATTAAATGGGCCACTCTTTGGAAATTAAAGGAACCCCAATTGCTATGTGAGATCAAAGAAATGGCTTTATCACAACAGAGCTCACTCATAAGTAAAGAAGCCACTCCAAAGCTGTTCGAGTTCTACGCCAAGCACATTTTCAGTCTTCCAGTAAACAATGTTCTTGCAGAAAGACAGTTCAACCTTTCACAACTGTATCTTAATGATAACATGTCAGAGTTATCAAAATAGGCCTCTATCACATTTTTTGAGAACATTCCACACAGTGGAAAAACCAACACAAGGACCACAGAAGCTGCCTGTGAAGTTCATGAAGAAAGAATGAAGAATAGGCCCAAATACTCACCACAGACCTTTTGCAAGAGGCAAGAAAGAACTTAAACAAGATTAGAGAAAATAGCACACACTGATCACTTACAGCAAAGGATGTTTACCCTAAAGCTTGGATAGAAAAGAAAGCAAACAATGACTTACCATATATGATTCAGTCAATAAAAGCTAATGGTCACAAACTTAAACTTCACTGGAAGGCTTCTGGCAAGGGAACATCTGCACTGGAGGGACAAAGGTCATTCAGCCCAGCAGTAATTGAGGGAGTTACCAGTACACCTGACGGACAGGTTCCAAGACTCATGCAGCTAGCGGCGCTAAAGGTGTGGAACTATGGGGAGGAGCTACCAATTTATGATCTACCAAGAGAATGCCAGTTGTGTCTACAAAACCTTCCAAATGTCTTCCAACCTCCAACTACTTGTCTTTCCAGGTCCCACATGACTGTACATATTACGCCATTGCCTACACATGAAGAATAAAGTAGTCATGGGGGTGGCTCTGTAATTTTAAAACATTTTAGATTTGAACATAAGAACTAATTTCATTGACCCACACTGCATGAAGTAAATGTATCTTAACAAGAATGCATTTTTTTACACACAGAGACACAATAATGAATAAATGTTTCAATGCAACATGTTAGAACTAACCTGATAAAAGCATGTTGTATACGCCATTTTAGTTAAGTAAACAGAACTGAATGTTTTAGTGTATGTAGCATGTTAGCTTTGCAATATTGTAACTGGTTTTACCGGGTATAAGTAGTGCATGGAGCCAAAGCTGAGACATGCATGTATAATCATGTTGTATTGGATCTTGAATTAAATGAATTGTACATTACATTCAAAATGAACAGTGGGTAAATGAAGCTGTAATATATCTGATTTTAAATTGTTATGCATGACTGTAGCTTAGTAGAATATTGAAATGCTGTCACTTCACTACAGTAGTTTGAGACCATAATAAATGTAATATTTAACTGCATGTGTGGAGGAGCAGTGGCCTCACGGTTGGTGCGCTCGACTCTGGATTGAGTGGTCTGGGTTCGAGCCCCAGCCGGGACATTGTGTTGTGTTCTTAGGAAAGACACTTTACTCTCACAGTGCCTCTCTTCACCCAGGTGTATAAATGGGTACCAGCAAATTTAATGCTGGGGGTAACCCTGCGATGGACT